GGAAAGAGCAGTTCTTAATGATAAACCATTAATGATGGTCTGTTGTATCATGGCCAGGCATTCCTTGTGATGGAGGGATGTTTGTGGTCCTGTCCAGTCTGATCCAACATGAATGTTTCATGGACCAAACTAAGTACCTGACATTAGGTACTTGAATGGGAAAAAAAGATCCAAAACTTGGGAAAGATGCTAAAACCAAAAGATTCAAGCTCAAAAGTTAAAGAGAGAATCCCAAGGAAAAGTGAGAAATCCAGCATGAGTTTGATTTCATGATTTCTTCCTTATTTCATTTTTGTTACTGATCTTATTCTTGCAGGTTCACTAAGCTGGGCTTTGCTAATCATAGGGATAATTCCTATCAGGTCAGTAGACTCCCATCAGATACTGCCCAAGTGTGTAGTTGCCAGGATATCAAGCTGGTATGATCTTATGATCATCTGTTGCCCTAATTAGGCTTTCAAGCAAATTTCAGTAGGTCCAGACTTGTCTGTACTGTGTCTGCTGCATTGCACAAGGATGTCCCATGGACCCTTGGTCATGCAGCTGCACAGCTTCCCTTTGACTTGCCTTCCAGCTTTCACAGCCTTTCATTAACCTCCAACCTAGATCATGTGCATGTTTTCATTTCTGAAGAGGACTGTTGAACGCTCACACACCCCTGGGGTAGTGTGAGTGCCCCATCCACCTTGGCAGACGTCTGTGGCCTTGGGTGCTGTTGGAGATGAGAGGATTTTGGATGGCTCTCACCTTCATTGCAATGGTGTGTGCACTTGTAAGGGCAGGGAGATGAAAGCTGGCAGTGTCTGAAGTACCACAACTGTGGCAAAATAGACTCTTTTTCTCCACAAAAAGTGATGTTGAAGGAGACATCTTGGTGATGAGTACACACTCGCCCTACCTGTCATTTCCTTCTGGTTTTTGTTGCCTTTGCTGCCTTCTCCCCTCCTTAGCTGCATTTTTTGATACCTGTTGTGATATGTAGTCACTTCTAAGCAGCAGCTGCTGCACGATTGACATGACAAGTCTTTAAAGATTGTCTTAGGAGTCATGTAAGAGACTTTGAATTTCCTGGGGATGAGACTTGGAAACTTTTCTGTTGCTCTCTGTGACGCCAGTTTTGATCCAGCCAACAGAGGCTGTGTGCAGACACCTGCCAGTCCAGACGATCCAAAAAAAAGAGGTGTACCTGAACCATAAAAAGAAGAGATTATACCCTCCTGAGGAAGGGAATGATTGCTTGGGGACAGAGAATGAGGTCCTCTGACTTGACCCACCCTTTTCCCTGATGAGCAAAAGGGTGCTGTAAGTCTTCCTGCAGTGAAGGATTCTGGACCTTTTCCAAGCCTTGAGAAATTGCACGTGTTAGTGGTTGAGGTAATGTAACGACAGGCAGCAGTGCTTGGAATGCAATAAAATGACATGGAAAAAGCATTTAGTCCTGAACTCAGTGACTTCTGCTCTCTTGGAGCTTGGTGTGAATACTCAGTTAAAGATCAAGAGCCAGGAACATCCTTCTGGCTTTTTTTTTCAGTATACACACACACACACTCCTGCCTACTCAGAGGCAGTGTCCCCTTCTAAGCATTGCCTGGTTTTGTGCTTTTTAAGTGATACAGCTCAGTGATGCTTTTCAGCAAACCAAATGCAGGTCTGAAAAAAGGTCAGTGAGAAGTGAGCACTGGATTTCTGTGCAATGAGCTTTGACCAAACCTGCAAACATTTCATCGTGTGAATGGGGTGGAGGGTGTCACACAGTGGTTCTGGGATTGGCTTTTTCCACTTTGATTCTCTTTTTTTTAACTACAGCAATTATATAAAAGTATATTTAAAACACTGTCATTGTGGAGATAGTGCAGTGGAGCAAGATCTGAGGGCTGGAACCCCTCTCTGGGCTTGTTCAGCCTGGAGAAGAGAAGGCTCCAGGGAGACCTTACTGCAGCCTTTCAGTATCTATGGGGAGACCTATGAGAAAGATGTGGAGGCACTTCTTACAAGGGTTTGGAGTGATAGGATGAGAAGTAATGGCTTCAAACTGGAAGAGAGGAGATTTAGATTAGAAATTAGGAAGAAGTTCTTCACTGTGAGGGTGGTGAGACCCTGGCCCAGGTTGCCCAGGGAAGCTGTGGATGCTCCATCCCTGGAGGTATTGAAAACCAGCTTAGACAGGGCTTTGAGCAGCCTGCTCTAGTGGGAGGTGTCCCTGCCCATGGCAGGGGATTGGAACTAGATGACCTTTAAGGTCCCTTCCAACCCAAGCCAGTCTATGATTCTGTGATATGTGCTATGTGAATATATTTTGCAACATTTTTCTTCATGGATTTTGATTAGTATTTTTTAACAGAAGCTGAGAAAGGAGATTAAGTGTATGCAGGAATTGCTTTGGTATTTCATTCTTTGCTCGTGGCAAGCCCTTCAGATAACAGCCCCTCTGTGCAGTCCTTTTTTTCCCTTTTGGAGGGGGAGTATGCACATTTTTCCCCTTAATTGTTTTTTGGGGCACTGATAACGTGTATCCTTTTGCAAAGTCCCCATATTGTTTGATGTGGGTTATGACAGAAAGATCAGAAGATCCCAGACCTGAGGTCCAAGGGATATTGCAAAGCAAGCCCCCAGCAGTAAAGTACCTGTTTCCACCAGTGACTCCAACTGGTGCTCTTATTTTTTGATCCTTCCCTGTTATCCTGAATCATATAAATAGTTAACTGACCTGTATAGCATTTCACTTTAGATAAATATATATATATATAAAGGTGCTGCTAGCTGCTGTCTTAAAAAGATTACAGTATCTCTATGGACTGGTTTACTAATACTGTGTTTTACTAACAGTTTATCTCCACACAGGTAACACAAGTAGCAAGACAACCGGGTCCTCCTGCCCCATCCCCTTACACTGCACATGAAATAAATAAGGGACACCCAAATCTTGCTGCAACGCCACCGGGACATGCATCGTCCCCTGGGCTTTCACAGGTAAGGCCTGGCATTGAAGCAGAGCATTCCCTGCCTCCTTTTTTTCCCCCTCTTGTCCCATTCTCAGCTTTGCTGCTCAAAAATTGATGTAGTGTCTTGTCTGTGACCAGTGTGAAAAACTGGATTAGTGACTGATGTCTTTAAGCAGCTTGAACCTTGAGGTGACTTCCAGGCAGCACTGGGGCTTATTTAGGCATCAGTTTGTTGTCAGTTCCATGACAGAAACTAGAAGCAACTTGGAAAACTGTAGGAAAAACTCCTTGGTGAGGAATGTTGGGTCTGGCTGCTCTGGAACATGGCTTGTTTTCCATTATAAATGCCATAAAAGTGACTGAAGATCCCTCTGCTAGGGATTTTCCTTTTCAAATGGTTTGTACAGGATGCTGCAATTCTCTTAATTTTGCTAAGAGGTGAGACATTTAAAATGAATTACAAAAGTGAATGCTAATAAAAGAAATGAGACAAAGGACTGATTAAAAAAGAAAGTACAGAAAAAGAGATAAACAGGAGTTATAATAAAAATGGAGAAATCTTTATTAAGATACATGGAATAAATTGGTCTTTTTGTAGTCTTTATTAGATGAATACTCTGCAGGATTGACATGAGAGTGAAGAAGCTTATCTTAAAAAAAGAAGGGTCAAAAGAGACAGGTAATGGAGGGCATAAATAGGGGAGATAAAAGATAGAGGATCAGGGAGAGTGGGACCTGGAAGAGCATCAAGGTTTGAGATAGAGAGGAAAGCCTTAGTTTGGTTTGCTCTTGTTTCACTGATGCTTGTTGGAATAAATGGAGTACAGCAGGAAGATGTGAGCAGGTTGGCTGCTAAGAAGAGTGGTTTTGTTCTGAAGAAGGCATTAGGTGGAGAGGCAGTTTGAGAAGCTGAGGACAGGCTGGGCATGGCTGGTGGTAGTGAGAGCCTTGAGTGTATTGCATTGCTGAGAGAAGGTTCCTTTCCACCTGACTGGAGAGCTGGGTGGAGGGGAACCTCATGAAGTTCCACAAGGGCAGGTGTAGGGTCCTGCATCTGGGGAGGAATAACTCAGGACTGCTGAGGGGTGACCTGCTGGGGAGCACCTCCATGGAGAAGGAGCTTAGAGTCCTAGTGTACAACAAGTGCCCATGAGCCAGGAGGCCAAGAAGGCTTGGGGTGTGCTCAGAAGAGTGTTCCCTGTGGGTCAAGGGAGATTCTTCTCCCCTTCTGCTCTGCCCTACTGAGGCCACCTCTGGAGAATTGTGTCCAGTGCGGGACTCCCCAGTTCAAGGGAGACAAGGAGCTACTGGAGAGAGTCCAGCAGAGGCTGTGAAGCTGCTGAGGGTCCTGGAGCATCTCTGTGCCAGGACAGGCTGAGAGCCCTGGGGCTGGTGAGCTGGAGAAGAGAAGCCTCAGAGGGGATCTGATCAATGCTGAGCAAGAGCTAAAGGGCCCTGGGGGGCAAGAGGCTGGGGCCAGACTCTGGTCAGTGGTGCCCAGTGACAGGACAAGGGGCAACGGGTACCAACTGGAACCCAGGAGGTGCCACCTGAGCAGGAGGAGAAACTTCTTTGGTGTGAGGGTGCAGAGCCTGGAGCAGCTGCCCAGAGAGGCTGTGGAGTCTCCTGCTCTGGAGAGATTCTAAACCCACCTGGATGACATCCTGGGCATCCAGGATGATCTCCAGAGGGCCCTTCCAACCCCCAATATGCTGGGATTCTGTGCAGCCTTGCTGTCCAGTCCTCTGCCAGCCTCTGAATTCAGATGAAATACTAAACTGCAGCTGACCTTTGGGACTAGGAGATCTGTGGAAACAAGTAAGGTCAAGTGAGAGACACTTCACCTTAATGTTACACATTCTAGAGAAAACTAGGTGGGAAAACTGGAAGCTTGTGTTGGAAAATGTGCCAATGTTCATCCTTTATGGGCTGAGAAGTTAAAGGCTGAGGTACCTCCTCAGGAGCATAAGTAGCTTGCAGGTGCTGCAGCAGTTTCTTGCACTCTTGGTGTGTAAAGTCTGTGGTTTGAAGACTGAACTCCACCTAACAGAGGGAGAACGTGGCAGGGTCACACAGGGCAAACTCTGAAACGTTGCCGGCCTTGTGTTGTGTATCAAGAAATTAATTCCTGGTAAACCTCATCAACAGAGCGAAGCTCTTCCTGTGGCAGATGAGAGGGGAAGAAAGAACATTCTAGGCAGCATTCAAAAAGAAATATTCTAATCAAGGAATTTTTTTCTTCTTGTAATATTTTCCTGTTGAGTCAGTGCCTACGTAGAGAGGCCTCTGTGCCAAATCAGCTCCAGCCAGCCGGGAAACGCTCGTTTCCTGTTCTGCTGCCTCTCGTCGCCTTGGAAATGAGCCTCAGGTTGGGTCACGCCGGTGCTGGGCTTTGACCTTACATCCTCCTCCTCAGCTGAGGATCCTCGAGGGCTCTGGGAGGATGTTTGTCCTCTGACAGCATGGGGCTGGCCCTTGCGTGCTTGGTAAGAGGAGGAAGAAGCCAGATAATGGTTTGAAAAAGGGTTTTTAAAAGCAGGTTTTAAATTAAAAGAGGGAGATTCAGACTAGAGAGAAGGGAGAAATGTTGACACTGAGGGTGGTGAGCCCCTGGCCCAGGTTGCCCAGAGAGGTGGTTGCTGCCCCATCCCTGGAACCATTCCAGGGGAGGTTGGATGGGGCTCTGAGCACCCTGCTCCAGCTGCAGATGTCCCTGCTCCCTGCAGGGGGTTGGACCAGGTGACCTTTAAAGGTCCTTCCCAACCCACACCAATCTGGGATTCTGAAATCCAAGGTTATAAGGCAGGCAAAGCATCAGTTGTTGCATGTTTTTGGGAGTGCAGAGTGAGATCTGGGGAGCTTTCCCTGGAGGATTTCCTACAAAGCTGGATTTGCTAGCAAAGCAGCAAAAAATCGTGGCTCCTGTTCATTCACAGCACTTGTTGGCCTCTGCCTGGGTAACTTCACTGCTGTGGTGTCCTATCAGTTGACCATCTGCATTGGAAGTGATGGGGGAGAATCAAGGAGGTGTCTGTAGTGGGGACACTTCCATCAGCAAGGCTTAAAAGGGGTTTGAGGCTCTTGACATAAGCAGGCACAGGAAGACCTGTGCCCAGGGAAAGTTTTCCATACCCCTGAACTATCAGAGGTTTGGGTAAACTTGTTTTGGTTTGGGTTTTTTTTGTTTTTTCAATACCAGAATTTTGAATATTCTTGTGTCTTTCCACACAGCTTCTAGTTTTGTGAATGTCTATCATGACTTCATTTATTTGCCTTCTTTTAGGTAAACAATCCAAATCCTTTAAATCTTTCATCACTTGAAAGTTTTTCCATGCTGTAATTGTTCTTTGGGGCTGATTTTTGGACCCTTTAAATCCTGCTGTTTCCCTTTGGAGATAAAGGGGCCTGAGCTGGCATGATCTCCTGAGGAATGATTTATTACTCATTTCTGTAACACTTCACCAGTTACTCTGTGTGGTAACCACCCGTGCTACACTGATGATGGAACGTTGAGCAAAGGTTGTCTTTGCATTTGTCCAGTTGTGCCTGACGTAGCAGGGTGTGTTTGTTGATCTCTCGGAGTAGTTAAGAAGGTAAGGAAGAGATGTTTGAGTTAGAACCTGATTAAGGTGTCGTTGATTTCTCCACCAGAACCATGACTTGATGGATACTCAGAAAACTGAGTCTTTCCAAAGCAGGCACTGATGTTTAGTCAGTAGTGAATGAGAATATTTATGTGTGGTGTTGGACTTTGAATATCATTTAGGTCTAACAATAATTTTGCCAGTGATAGAGTGTGTAGCTTGCTTGTGTGGTCACCACTGAGTGCTGACTGTCAGCCCAGGGCTCATCAGGGACCTCTGTCCCTCACTTTTCTCCAGTAGGCATCTCAGCATCCCTTCTTTTGGGGCTCAGAGTCACTTCCCAGCTTCTTCAAGTGGGGAACTTGCTGCAGGAGACAAGGGGATTAATAAGTGCTGTGACTCCACAAGTGATGCCCTCACTGTCCTGGCTGTGCTAAAGCTGCCTGTTCCAGTAAGTCTGGGTGATGGGAGATCAGGTAATACCTTAAAATGCTAGGAAGTGATGAAAGGAACCACTGTCCCTTACTGTTACTTACTGCTCCCTTGGAGCACTTCATAGGTCTGTAAACTCCTGTGTGACAAGATGACAGCATCGTGTTGAGTGGTCTGCAAGAGGGACTTCGGGAAGCACAGCTCAGGAGATCTGTGGGGTATTTAGTGTCTCCTCTGGGAAGAAAAGTCAGGTGCAAATGTGTGTTGTACCTTTGTGACTGGCTTTCCTTGAACCTTCTTTAAACAGCCAGAAGCAGATGGCCCTGTGGTGCTGTGGTTTGGTGTCTTGTTCACTTATTCTTCTACCCTTTCAAGAGAAAGGTTTGACTTCCTCCAAGGTCTTTCATAATGACCAGCCTCTGGCACTTTGCTGCCCAGCAGAATTAGTTCCTGCAGCAAAATGAGAAGAGCTTGGCAGCGTTGTGAAACAGTCCCACACCCCTGTCTCTGCAGATTTCTGCTTCCCAAATTCCAGGGCCTTGAAGTCATAGTGCTGCTCTCTGGAATGCGTTGAGCTCCCTGGCTGGGGAATGCACAGCACATGTTGCCACAGTGATGTTACAGCCAGATGTGGCCCCACAGACATAAAATTTCATATTTCTCTTGCTCTTTGCGTGAAAGGGCCCCTCGTGCTGACTGGGAGAGGAGGGGCCCATCTTCTCTGTTGCCTCTCTTGGCTTGCAGGCTTCAGAAGTGGCTGGTTTGAGACAATTTGCTTCCTCAGGGTACTGAGGAATGGAGAAATCCTTGAAAAAAGAGTGGAGGAATTGGGAGCAAGTTACCATGGGATCAGCCAGGGCACGGATTGACAGTGTGCTGGGCACCACGGGGTTTGCCTGAGCACCCTCATCCCACGATGGGAGGGAGATAGTCCAGTGCACGTAGCAACTGCTGGAATGCTGCAAATCCACCCCCTGCTCCAGCCTTATGTGATGGCAGCTTTTGGAGTAGC